TTCCTCCAACCAGAACTAAGGAAAGATAGACAAGTTTCTCTGCTCTCTGCTTTTTCACATAAAAAAAATTTTTTTTTTTTTTTAAAGATGACCGGTAAGGGGATCTTAACCCTTGACTTGGTGTTGTCAGCACCATGCTTTCCCATGAGAGCTAACCGGCCCTCCTTATATAGGGATCTGAACCCATGGCCTTGGTGTTAACAGCACCACACTCTCCCAAGTGAGCCACGGGCTGGCCCTAAAAAATTTTTTTCTAACTTTTCTAATTCACTCTTTCTCTGAGGGTAAAACTCTTTGTGGTTCCCTGTTTTAGGGAGTCTCCACTCTCCCTGATTTGAGCCCAAAGCTTTGCTCCTGGCCGATGTTGCCTTCTCAAGACTAGAACTCTAGGCTACTTGGAATTAGCAGATGCTCCCAGGGCTCTTACTTCCCTAAATACATGCTCATTTTGTTCTGACTTCAGAGGATTCCTTTTGCAAGCTCAGTAATGTTTTGAAAGGTGTTCTTGTAGTTTAACATTCTTACAGGCTTCATACTGAAATATTTTCTAAAATTCTGTTTGCCATATTGCCAGAAATAGAAGTCTGCAAATTCTACTTCTGGATATCTCACAAATCCAAAACTTTAGTAGTTATTTACCCTCTTCCCCCAACTGCCATATCTAATTTTCCTTCAAATATTTTCTGATACCACTTCTCATCCACCTATTTACAACATAAAATTGAGCATAGACTCCTTTCTTGCTCAATCTTTCACACCACAGTATAACTCATATGTATTCTAAGTTCTAAATACCTCCTGAATCTATTCTCTCCTTCATCCTGGCTACTAGTGCCTTCAGAATTCACCGTTTCTTTTCTGGGCCATTGAAATAATACCCATTTCCATGCTTCCCTCCCTTGAATCTATATACAAAGCTGCCAGAATAACCTATTTAAAATAAAAATCTGACCATGTCATTAATTAAGTCTTCAGTGACTCCTTGCACCAGCAATCCTAAACAATGTCAGTAATGAAGTACTCCTCCCTGCCAAGGTGGACTTTTCCCACCACAACCATCCGTTGATGAGCCACTCCTAGTCAGGCATCACTCCCTTCTGAAACAGAATTAATCATCTCTTCCTAAACCTTAATGCACACCTCAATCTCCTACAAAACCATAAGCATGAATGAACAGACTTACTGTTCTAGCCAGCTACCATTCAAGTTTATCTCATTTGCCCAGTAAGGTCCTCAATGAGTGAAATGTGCTAAGTCCCAGTTACTCTATATTGCTAGGAGAAACAATCATGCCTTACATTCAACTCAGACCAGACAGACTAAAGGCATACAGAATATAATTTGAACTCCAAAGGCTGGCATTCACAGAACACCATAATCTGAACATACTTCTAATTCCTACTAATAAATCTTAATAATTCTACATGCCTATTACACGTACATCTTTTTTGTATCACAGCACATTGTGTCTGATTTACCTAACTGCTAAGCTCCAGAAGGAAATGTAAACACTCAGTTCTGTTTTAGTGCTGTGGATGCAACAGACACTTAATTCTAATGAATAAAACTAGGGACAGCTAATACATAAAAGAGTAGAATACATTGTTTATTATACAACATTTTAATTTTTAAAAAAACTTTCTTTTCATAGAATACATTTTCACATTAGAGATTCCCAGTGGG